TCGTGAAAAACAATAATAGCCCAGAGGAATTCGACATCTTACCAGTAACGACAGGGGAAAGAGCGAAAGCCCTAGAAGGAATGCAAAAAGGCAAAGTTACTTGTGAGGATAAGGTAACATTGGACCTGCTGAAAGATGTCGAAGAATTTGTGTTAGAAAAACTGGCCACTTTATATACAAAGTGTTTCTTGGCGGGAAGGGCACCAGAATCTTGCAAGAACACTGACATAATCTTAATCCATTAGAAAGGAGACGTCAAAGGGATGAAAAATTACAGACCAATCAGCTTACTGTCTTTTCTCTACACACTATTTACCAAAATAATAGCTAATAGAATTAAAGTGACTTATAGAGTTCGATGAACCAAAAGACCAAGCAAGGTTTAGTACAGGCTACCTACTCCACAAGAGACCATGTTTATACTATCAATCAGGTAATAGAGAAATGCGCGAAACAGAATCAACCCTTATACATATTTTTGACAGATTACGAGAAGGTGTTTCACTCAGTCGAGACATCAGCAGTAATCCATGTTCTACGTAATCAGGGCATCGACGAACCCTACATAAACATACTGGAAGAAATCTGGAGTGGATCCACAGCCACCATAGTTCTCCATAAAGAAGGCGACAGAATCCCAATAAAGAAGGGTGTAAGGCAGGGATACACGATCTCTCTAACGCTATTCACCGCGTGTTTACAGGATGTTTTCAGGACTCTAGATTGGGAAGAATTAGGGATAAAAGTTAATGGAGAGTATCTTAGTAACCTGCGGTCCACTGATGACATTGCTTTGATGAGTACTTCAGGGGACGAATTGCAGATCATGATCACTGAAATGTGCAACAGTCTCAGCAGAAAACAATACTTTGCGATAAGTGGAGAAACACTAGAATTTGTAAAGGAATACTTCTACTTAGGATAGGTAGTAACCCTGGAGCTGAACCATGACAGTGAAATAACTAGAAGAATAAGGATGGGCTGGATCACATTTGTCAAGCATTTTCAAATCATGAATGGTAATCTACCACTAACCCTTAAGAGGAAGGTATATAAGAGCTGCATCTTGCCGTTACTTACCTACAGATAAGGAACCTGGAGGCTTACAAAGTGGGTTCAGTTTAAATTGAGGACGATGCAGCGAGCGATGGGAAGGAAAATGATAGGCGTCACCTTAAGAGGCAAGAAGAGAGCAGAGAGAGTCGGGGAAAAGACCGGGGTTAATATCCTCTTTTCATATAGCTTCTACACTAGCTAAGGAGGGAAGGTGTTTCAAGCTGAGAAAGGGCACCTGGTGAAAGCGCAAAGAAAGGGCTGTTGTTCAGTGAAGAGATGCTTTATTGGAGCTTTTAGTCGTCTGCCTGGGTCCAAGCCCCAACCTCTGCTCTTATTTCACATCCGAACATCCTGTTTTCAACCCTCGGTGAAACAAAGGGTATCCACAAAAGCCAGACCCACTTGGGGGCTTACATAACCACCACCAATTGCTTCAACACTTTCATGACGGACACGACACGAAACAAGCCCTTCACAATATACAACATGCAAGGGGATAGCTTCTCAGCGCAACACGTGTTGTCACACTCTTTCTCATGTTATCCCATTTATCAGCTGATGTCCGCGGGTTAGCCATTCCCAGGACCGAGCTCAGTAAGTTTGCGCAGCTAAATGTCACTTTGTAGGAGCATTGTTAAACACAGGGAGAACATTGGCAAGCTTTGTGCACTGACACTGGATGTGTGGGACAGCGAGGGTGCGTGCGACAGCCATTGGGTGCGTGTGACAGCCCTCTAAAGAGCACTCGCTAAGGACATACAGCGGGGGGAGAGGTCAAGCTCGTCTGCATAACTTGAAACCTAGATGATCGCGTGTCGCCCGGTTCTTGCGAGATGCGTGTTCCTGTTGGCTTTTCCCTTTGTCCCAGACAGGCGCTGGCTTTGACGGCTGTGCTCGTGACCTGTGTGAACGACCAAGTCTCCTTTCTTAACCATGTGCGGGTCTTCCGCGTCCCCTTTCCTGAAATGGACAGGTTAGAATAGCGGAACGGGAGCCCACTATGCATTTCGCAGCACCCGCATACTTTCCACCACAACAACATGGTGACTCTGTCTACCTCATACTAACTGATATCATAGTTAAAGTCAAGAAGAAAGGACATGGGCCTGGCACGCAGCCCGTAGACGGAATAACCGCTGGTTATTAAGAGTAACTGGCTCGATTCTTAGAGAAGGCAAACGCACGAGATGGAGACAAAAAATTAGATTGACCGATAAAAATAAAAAATTTGCAGTTATAATGTGGTTCCAGAAAGCATGAAACCGGGTTGATTGGCAGACCGTGGGAGAAGTCTATCTTATGGAGTGGGGTGTAGTCAGGCTGATGATGATGATGATGATTTATTTCTAATTTGTGGCAGACTGCGCTGCAATGATTGTAGCTTATATTTATTACTAAGACAGGAAAGAGACGATAGACTGACTGTGGCACGATTTCTGATAATGGGGTAAATTTGAAATAAAGGGGCACAATTTATACCCTGTATTGTGATAAGCATTCGGGTGACATAGCCATGCTATTATGTACATGGAAGTCATCAATTCAGATATTAGTCTCATGCTTCTCTATCGTTTTGAGACTGAAAAAGGCAATAGAGGCGTGGTAAGTTTATTTCAAACATCTTTATTTCGGTCTTAACATACAAGAAAACGGCATAAAACTACTTTCAGGTGGCCCCGCCACGGTGGTCTAGTGGCTAAGGTACTCGGCTGCTGACCCGCAGGTCGCGGGATCAAATCCCGGCTGTGGCGGCTGCATTTCTGATGGAAACGGAAATGTTGTAGGCCCGTGTACTCAGATTTGGGTGCACGTTAAAGAACCCCAGGTGGTCAAAATTTCCGGAGCCCTTCACTACGGCGTCTCTCATAATCATATGGTGGTTTTGGGTTGTTAAACCCCACAAATCAATCAATCAATCTACTTTCAGGTGAAAAAAAAAAACTGCGTAATGTCCTTTTTTTTGCAAATGAATTTGTTTATGACATGTAACTACCTTAGACACCTGGGGACTACAATTTTAGAGCCCGGATGATGCATAATAAATAATTACAACTTCGCTGCCAACTATTCAGCAGTGCTGTAACATATGCTGAGAAAAAGAGACTATGGAAAGTTCTATTTTCTGTTGTAAAAGTGAGAAATAAAAGTACGACATTTCTGGGAAACACCATTCTCATACCTGCCATGTGTCACAACTGCTTGACATGGAGCGACCCTTTGTTGAGCTTAAAGTAAAATAATGCCCTTTACACAAGAAGTTCATGTTTAATATAAAAAAATATTTGCTTCACAATTAATTGTGGTTGCTTGAAGAAACGAGCCCAGGTGGGTTCACACAATTTGAAGAAGCTATATTAGACTCCCAATACAGCTTGCAATCGTTTATGACCTGCAAACCAGAGATGTTGTCACCGGCAAATTGTCTTTTCGTTCACTTTATTATTTCAAACTACCATTGGATTACGAGGGTTGCTTTAGTAAAGGCCTTTGCAAGTCATGATCATCTGGTGTACTCTAACATGCAGCAAAATCTAATTAAAAGTGCCTCTAGGATTTTGCCTTCATTTAAATGCAGTGCTGTGGCCAGAAATATTTACTGCAATGTATGGAGGTGTTGTATATGTATATTATAGCACACTTTTAAGTCATTCAGTAAGTTGTGAGATGTTCATAACTGCACTTCGCAATCTGCCTATGCACATTGTACATAATGTTAATGGGCAGGGAACTATATATACTGTATTCACTCAATCCTAAGGGTGAAATTGCATGGCGCGATTTCTGGCGTGATTGGCGTTTGGTCCGAGAGATGCGCATTTTTTTTTTTGCGAACGCCTTTGCAAAATCGCGGTGTTCCGTCGTGCATGGTGATAGGTAAGCAGACAATATTTTGATTAACGCTATTGCGAAATCGTGCCGCCATGCCTTCGTTCTCTGAGCAGAAACAAAAGAAGACGTCCCACATGGCGCTTCGCCCCTTCATCTTCCAAGCAGAATTTAGGGGGCGTACTGGTGTTTTGTTTCTTCCAATGCCTCCAGACGCCACTCACCTCCACGTATTTCGGAAAAGCGTTTTTGATGAAAATTTTGCAACCTGGCTAATGTAGCACGAAAACGCCGCTGCTTTCTTTTCCTACGAATGCACCCGCATCTGGGACAATGGGGGCGTTCTGTACGTGAAAAACGAGCTATGCAGTTCTGCCTCGACACGACCACAATGGGAGATTTTCCAATCTGTAAGTGTGCTTCTCCGCGATGCATATTTCCCCTACGAGTGGCGGCATCGGTGGTGCTTCAAGTGGAAACGAGGTCCTAGTTGCACGTGCTGGGGCTTGTCTATTGTCCATGTTTATATCAAGGCAGCCAAGCCAACATTTTCCACGTCTCATTGTGCAAGAAAACTGTGCTCGAATACATTGCCTTTAGTAAGAGGCTAGCTGCCATTAGTAGAACAAAATGCATGGCAGAGAAGCGCACTTATGGATTAGGAAAGTCTCCTAATATGACGCCAGGGGGGACTCTTCATTTATTTGAGGAAGAAAAAAAATATCGCATTTTGGTATTTGATTGGGACGTGCAGGTAGCCTTTTAATAGTGAAAAATCTGGAAAAAAAAAAACAAGAAAAGAACTCCGGGTACATTTCAGTACTAAATGCAGTATGTTTAAATAATGCTCAGTGCTTTTAAACCGTCTTTGCTGTCCCCTTCCTTCATTCCTTTCGTTTTGTGTTTACTTTACAGCAAGCACTAGCCTGACTTTTCTTGTACGTATCGCGGTTTTCATTTTTGTATATTGCGCCCTCTTTTCATGGGGTAGTTGTTAATAGCAGCCGTAACGTGTCCATGGGTGTTTTTCATTGTCGGTGTATTTTATATACGCACTCAAATCCACTCACTCAAAGTCCAAGACTTTTGCTCACTGAAGTGGTCTCGAACATTTGCAGCAAGCTCGTCAGCTGGGCAAAGCGGATGAGGCGAGGCTGCGCAGCTTACGCAAACTGGTCCTTCTTGTCGACCTGGACCAGACTCTCATCCACACCACAAGCAATTACGTACCACCGGACATGAAGGTACCTCGTCCTTTAACTACATGAATGTGTAGTACAAGCAGTAGTGTGCTGAACTGGGCTGTTCAGTAGATCACTAGTGTGGGAACAACCACGGCTGGAGACTGGACAGTTGTTCATGTTCGTTGAAATAAATATTGATGCGTTGCTCTGGTAATGATTAGCTGTTTAAATATGAAGAAACAAAAGGACAGCACTAATAGACATTGAGTGTAAGATTCCTTCGCGGCTCGGAGGGTTGTCTTCTCGGTTCTCCATCTCCCCTAGTGGTCAAGTACTGTCCCGTGCCCTCATTCGGCTTCACCTGCAGCAGCCCCGTGGTGTCAGGTTACAGCCAGAGGAGCTCGTCCCGAGTTCACTCCCGAGGCTGCAAAAAAGGTCATTTTTCTAGGCCTGGGGATCGTATGGTAATTTTATCTGGCTTACGCTTCTTTGGAGAATTTTATCAGCAACAGGGACAGTGCAAGAACGACAGACAAGCCATTTCGTCTCGTTTTTTTTTTTCATTTTTTCCATGTTATTTGAGATGTCTAATTAATAGAGTTGTAGAAAAAGTGAAATTTTAGGTGCGAAGTAAATTCGAACATTGAAGTGTAACTGCAATTGAATAGAACATTTTTCGAATACTTTGAAGTGCAGTAGATGGAATGAAAAGGTGGAGAAGAATAGTAAGCATATTTCAAGGAGATAGCAAAATTTAAGTATTTATTTTGGCAAGATTGATAAAGCACTGGCAGGTTTGTATTTCATACTTCTCTTATCACGAATGAAGCAATGCAGAGGCCGAATTGTGGTTCTATACATGGTTTTGCTGTTACCAAAGTGTTGCCGAGAACACATTACACGTAAAAGGCAAAAATACTATTTCCTAAGCCTCTCTTCTTTCAACTTCTGTAGAAGTCCAACTTATACAGTAGACAACGGTGTGCCCCTTTTCAGTCCGCAGTTCCGAATCTGCCTCATAGACGTCAATTTATAGGAACATCTGAAATTTTGGATGTTAAAAGCATTTGGTGTTCGATTTTTCGATCCTGCTGCCTCAATTTAAATTCTAAAACAGCATTAACTGCCACACATCATCTCCATTCGAACCAGAATTTTTTTTTTTTTTAGTCTATACATTTGCGGGCATAGCAGAGCCTGAATGGCATCTTTGCCGCAATACGTGGATGATGGGGAGAAGCATATTGAAAACCTGAAGGGGCCCCTGGCAATCGGACGTTAACTGTATTTGTCTTTGGTAAGTGGGAATAGTTCGAACAATAAAAACTTCAATGCGAATAGAATGCAAACGCTATCCGAAAAATATTTGCAATTTAGAATATTCGCATATCTCTAATAGTTATTGCACATGTAAAGAGACACTTGTGTCCACAAAAGTACAGGTCAGTCTGCCTGCTACTCTGCATTGGAAAAGGGGGACAGAGAAAAGAAAAAAAGATTGAAAACATTGATTTGATAAGCAGATGTGCAAGGAGTTGACTTACCACAGCACACAAGCGGGCACATGGCAATCTTTGTTAATGTGCAGGCATCAGTCGCAAGCGTAAAGCACTAGTACTTAATTAATAACAGAAAGTTAGAAACAGCTATACCCCATGTTCGGCAAGAGTGTCAAGGAGTCTGTGTGATGCCCTTCTTAATCAATGCTTCCCAATCATCCTGTAGGATACATTGAATTAAATACATAAAAAACCCCGTAACAGCTGCACTACGGTGAAACCTAAGGAAGTGCGTAGCAAAGGCAGCCCGAGGGCCCAGCGATTCCTATTTGTAGATTTCCCATGCTCTGCTTACCAAAGCGTCGATGATGTCAATGTTTCAGGCAGGCATTCAGGTTTCCCCGCACGACTAAAACCCTGTGGGAGAGATTCGAACGCTCTGCGTGTGACATGTATGTAAACTTTTGTGGCGCCTCATCGACTTCCTGCTTGTTACAGCAGTCGAGATTCGCGCCATCTGCAGTGAGTTTTGTCAAGTTGTTTCCCCCCATCAGATGTAGCACCAGTACTGCGCCATTGAGACGTAAGGGGAGGGGCATTCGCTTGCTCAGTCATGCGGTGGCGCCTTCCCTGACCGACCGCAGAGCGCGCCGCCAATTTTCAAAACATCTTAGTGATTATAGTAATTACCGCAATCACTTCTTGGTTATTTTGGTTAAAGATGGTATATACAAGATTCATGCATTAACTTGGTTCAAAGGGACTGCCAGGAAAAAATTTTCTGATGGTGATGCACATAGTCAAATCAGCGGCAATGAGCGTGATTTTGTCCAATAAAGAAGTAATTATAATTTTAACTTTATGTTCAAAGTCGACAAAATGTGATTGCTAGCGTCACCCAATAGCAATGTGGTAAATCTACCGGTAGGACAAGAAATCTTTCCAGGTAGACTTCTTTTGCTCAAAAAGAAACATGTAATGCCTAAAATTGTATTTTACACACTTTAGGCCGCTTTAGGCTGTGCCATTGACACATTTTTGCTTTTTTTTTTCTCACTTGTTCAAAGAGGCATCTCGTGGCACTGTGTTCGCTTGCCTGCATGCCTGCCTTCAAACGGCGGAGAAACAAGAGCGTGGCGTCCTCAGGGGTAATAAAAACCACAAAAGAGTGTGTGCGTGCCGTAAACAACCACTAAGGTATTTGTTTTATCAATAAACAAAACTTGATGAAGCCTGCAAAAACCGCTCGCGGTTTCACTTTTCGACGATCTGACATCACGTCTCATTGTCTGCATCGACCGATGTTGTGGGCATTCATCCCACTGATAAAAGGAGACCGAACGCAGACAGAAATATTCTGTTTTAAAAATTTCTACACACTTTCCAGAGAAACCACTGCAAGATAAGACGCTTCAGATGGTAGACAGTCCCTTTAAGCGTTGCTGTCCTTGTTATAACTTGTATTAAGTGCTTTACTGTGCGCGGGATCACGCCATGTGAAATTCATGGACGGATAACAAGCCGCACCCCTCAAGTGCCCTGCACTTGACAGTTGGATATATTCCACACACTTCTCTATCAGATGGTTTATAATAATAATAGTAGTAGTTGTAATAATAATAATAATAATAATAATAATAATAATAATAATAATAATAATAATAATAATAATATCTGGGGTTTCACGTCCCAAAACCACGATGTGATTCTGAGAGACGCCGTAGTGGAGGGTTTTTTTTTTCGACCACCTGGGATGCTTTAACGTGCCCCTAAATCTAAGTGCACGGGCCTCAAACACTTTTGCCTCCATCATCACTGATTGATGGTGTAGCTATAGTATATACAGTCTGCACGAAGTCATGTTTGGTGCTCTGATGCATTCAGTTCTATAATGGCCCTTCATGTGCGTGCAGGGTGTGCACCACTTCCAGCTGTGTGGGCCCCAGTCGCCCTGGTACCACACGCGGGTGAGGCCAAGGACGCAGCACTTCCTGGAGCAGGTGTCGCAGCTGTACGAGCTGCACATCTGTACCTTCGGGGCAAGGCCATACGCGCACGCCATCGCCGCCCTGCTGGATCCCGATGGGCGGTACTTCTCCCACCGGATCCTCTCGCGAGACGAGTGCTTTAACCCCACTTCTAAAACTGGAAATCTCAGGTAAGGCTGTCTGCACGGTTGCAGTTTCAAAGGGCCAGTAAACAAGCTCGTGGTAGGAATTTTCATAATGGTAATGTAATTGTGCACTTGTACAATGTGAATATACTCAGGCCTCGATATAACAAACGTGGATATAACAAAATATCGGTTATAATGAAGTAATTGAAGAATGGTCTTGTAATGGCTTTAGTGTTAGAACAATACTTTTATAAATAACTTATTTTCACACAATATGCAACTTCGTTATAATGAGGTTTGAGTCCACAAAGAACGAGGACTTATGGTGATAGATCTGGAAGACGTCTTTACTTCATAAGGGCTGGCTCTGAATCCCTACTTCACTCTCTTCTTTCCTTTAGTCTCTTATACTTCCCTCTAATGCCCCGCTTCTTCATTTTCAACAGTGAACATGCTGCTACGAGAACTTTGTGAATAAGTACTGTAACAAAGAAGTTGCAGGGTTTAGAACAACCCACTTTTGCTGCCATCAGTTTCTCGCATGTCGTCCCCACCCTTTTCTGACTGCAAAGAGAAATAGCCCCTTGTCAAGACTACACCCACTTCGTAATGTAACATCAGCAATATGTGGTCGGTGCCCAGCCAACGACCGAGCAACGGTCCTTCATATGCACACGCTTCCTAGCGGCGAGGTGGGGGAGCGCAGGGCAAGTAGTACGAGGCACCGGTGAGCATAAGTCGACGATATCACTCACAAATCGACTGACTTGGATTCACTCAGACTCGGATGAAGCCGTGAGTTTGAGTGAAAGTGAGTCCGGGTGAGTAATATTTGTTTTTGTGAGTTTGAGTTTAAGTGAGCCTGGTTGGAGAAAGCTTTCCTGAGAGTGAGTGCGAGTGAACCAGTTAAAGAAAGTTTTGGTGAGTCTGAGTGTGAGTGAGTCCTAAGTGCATGATACATTTTTTAAGTGATTTATAATTTAGAACACCCCATTGGCGGTTATGGCACATTCGGGCGACGTGTTAGTGCATAGGGAAGCTTCGCAAATTACTATAAACTGTTCCCTCATCTTACCGTTCCTTTTAAGGGGAGATGCGAGTCGAAAAATGCACTTTTTTTTTTTCGCCTGTTTTTATTTTCGCCTGTTTTAATTAGAATATTACCTCTACTGTTATGAAAAAAATAATGCAGGTCAAGACTTAGCTGGAAATGCTTTAAAATTGCATCTAAAGAGCACATGGTGCCTGTTGAAAGGTCCAAAGTGTGGTATTCGAGCACCTTGCTACTGATAATGCGCCGCAGCTCGCCATTGTTGATAGCATGAGTCGAGCCTCACTCTTCAATTAACAACAGTTTCTCTCGCTGATGCAGCACTAGAAATAATAAAAAGAAGCACTCTTCTGCGCATTTTTCGAGTGCCGCGACTGGCTTATCACGTGGTACGGATTGGGGGATCACCATTGGCCGCTGCGCGCCTGTATGTGCTGTGAAACCTATTTGCGGGGTCCATGTCTTGTCGAGCAGCGCAGCTGAACAATGCTTTTCTCGTGTAATTATCTCCGTTATGAATGAAAAAAAGCATTGCTTGCAAGTGAAAGCCGTTGTGCGGCGCGCTTTGTAGGTATAGGCTATGAGCAGCTGGTCCAATTTGCGGCAGTTGTTCGTTTTCAAAAGCCAATGCATCAAAAGTCATTCACACCTGTCAGCCGGAATGTTTGTGATGCGGCAATGGATGACGTCAGCGCCAATCTTGAGAGGTCGAAAGAGCTCGCAGTGAGAGAACTTAGCAGGGACGACATTGCCATTATGTATGACAATATGTGGCGCAAACATTGCTACAAAATGGCAAGACACTGGACTTAGTTTGGATTTCGCAGTCCTGTCGAACCCTAGCTTGCAGTTGGCATGACACTGTACTTAGTTTGGATTTCGCAGTCCTGTCGAACTTCTTCCTAGCTTGCAGTTGGCACAGGGCTCTGCCAGATGGAGCGGAAGTTTGGCAAGCGTTTCATGGCCCTGTCTGTGAGTGAAATGTTTGTGAGGAGTCGGCTCGCAAAAGCCGTGAGGGACAAGCCGAGAGGGACAAATATTTTAGTCGCAGTGGCCACTACTAGAAGGATTGTTCTTTTTGGTGTGCAAATTTCATCTGATTTAATGATATCTTTCATAAATAAAAACTCAATTTTAACTTTAAAACTTGTTTTTCTCAAAACACAAATTTTGCCATTTTTTCCTATGTGCCCCTTCTTTTTTGGGCACTTCTAGTGCTCGGATATGCATGAAATTTCGCCCAAATTTTTTCCAAAGTATGACAAATGCAATTATCTAGTTTAAATATTATTATTTTATTGTATAATAAAAATTTTATGTATACCTTTACTAGGGTAAGAGAAAGATGGACTTTTTATGTCTATTATTTTTCACGCGTATTGCATATTTTGTATGTGCTTTCTAATTAGTTATTCGCACTCTACACTTTATTTGAAGCATTATGAACTATGAATGGTAAAAAATTACATAAGTTTAGGGATGAAAAGAGGAGGGCAAAAGGTTTAATGTTTTCACTTTGTCTTGTTGCAGAGCTAGAAGTGTATAACTTGCAAGAAAACTATCTATATACTTGAAATCAGCATAAAAAGTTGCATAAACAGCTGAAGTTTCATTGCTCTAGGGTGACTATTAAAAAAAAGTGTCTTCGAGTAGCATCTTCCCTTAATGTGATATGGTTAAAGAGTTCACTTCGCAGAATTTTTATTTTCGGTGGTGTTGTTGTCGTCTTTGGTTGTGAGTGTTCAGGTTGCGACAGCGTGTCCCGCTCGTCCCAAACATGTCAGGCACATGCCTTGGACTGACTATGTAGTTTTGACTCATGGGAGCTGGAGTTAGAGGTTCTGCTTTTCAGCACTCCAGCCCTCGTGGTGAAGACCGTCGCAGGAAGGCTGTTTGTACTTGAGATCGAGCTTCACGTGTTTTGAAACATTAGGCACCGCCAACAATTAGGCTTAACTCCACTCGTAGCACCTGTGTGACAGACGAATTTGAACTTTGCCAACAAGTGCATTGGGCTAGCAAACATGCAAAAGCGAGGAAGCTGCAATTGGCTTTGTCACAAGCAATGACTCGCGTTGTTTGCTGGCTCCTCTGAATAGTGAATAGGCATTTTATGCAACGGCAGTGTACAGTGAACCCCCTCTCCCCCCATCTCATGGTCAAGCTTGATGTGTAAACTTGTATATTCATTTTGCAGAAGTCTGAATATTCTGAATTGTAAAATTTCATTGTAGGATCGAATTGAATAGCAAACCTATTCTTTTGTTGCTCGGAAAAGCTTCCATCAGCAACAAGTTCGTTCTTAGCCTTTATTTTGCTTTTTTCTGCCGTAAACTTAAAGCTTACCCTTGCCCCATATGTAGTAGACTCTCAGTGAAGTGAAGTCTGTTAAACAGAACGACTCTTAAATGGAACACGTGTTTCTAACAGGACTGGTTTCGTCCTGGCACTCTGCACCCCTGTTCATCTCTCGGTAAACGCAACTCCTGGTAAACGGACGTATTCTCCTTGTTATTCAAGGTTCCATTTAATGATGTTTAAGTCATATTGCATGGGGTCGTACGAAAATTCCAAATGGGCCAATATGCTCAATTATAGAAAGTGTCTAGAAAACAAAATAAACAGACCTGTATACATCAGTACTCTTAGATTTTTTTTATGCATACATGAACCACGTACTTATTTATTTTGCATTGTAAAAGTCACAGTTCTCATCATTACCATATTTTTTCACTGCATGACCGCAGCTCGTTAACGCAGCACCTTAACCAAAACGGTCTCTGCACCCGTCCCTCATTACATACTGGTACCATTGACACACAGAAACTGACCGGCAAAAGATTGTTTATTCATCGTCATATAGCAAGTGGTTTCTGACCCTGTTCTTGTTTTTAGGGCGCTGTTCCCTTGTGGTGACTCCATGGTGTGCATCATTGACGACCGCGAGGACGTGTGGAACTTTGCACCCAACATGGTGCCGGTGAAGCCGTACCTGTTCTTCGACAAGACGGGCGACATAAATGCGCCGCCGTGTGCTGTACCTGAGTCCACTTTCTTCCCCACGGCGGTAAGAGCACTTGACATTTGCAGTCGTGCCCAATATAAGCTGCAACATGCTGGTCATTGGTCAAAGTGGCGCTAACCCTGGACAGCGCTGCTGACATAGAAAACAGCCAGTGTTGACATAGAAAACAAGATTTAAACACTGTTCAGACTACTGGCATTCCCAAAACTACTTTTAAAAACCCCGAAGTCTAGGACGAACTGCCTCTGTGAATTTAGCACTTTCATCTTTTCACAGCCGCTTAAAAAAACATATAACGCAAAATTTAAGGGGGCCCACTGGTCTTAGACATTGTTTTGTTCATTTATTCAGTGATCTTGATCAAAGTTTTTAGTATTATGCAGTGTTTTCTGCTGATTTCAAATACTTAATTAGTTTTCCTATCACTCATCTTATTGTTGAGATAACTTAAGGGGGGAAGTGGCTTTGAAAAAAAACTTTTTTATTTGTTGACCTACAGCAATGAAATTTGGCATGCATACTCATAAGTGTCTAAAATAGGGAAATATGCAGTTTCATCATGATAGCTTCAGTAGTTCTCAAGTTACATAATGCTACACGATCCAATTACATGGTCTGCTCGTGGAAAGCCTAGCGCTGCAACAAAACATGCCAGGAAGCTGCGAATGATGTTGATCTTTACTCAAAAGAAAGCTACAGGGTATGACACTCTCGGAATTTTTTAATAAGTTCTCGTTTCTTTTTTAGAGATCATCATGGCTGCCGACACACATTGTCAGAAACAATGGCACGGACAAATCATCGTCTAGAAAAATAACAGGGCCACAAAACAGAAATTGAAGATTGCTGTACCCACAAGCAGTGTTCAGGGATTCAGGGAAAAAAAACAGAATCAAAATCGGTCCAGTCATTCTCGTGCTACTCTTTCCACGAGCAATGCACAATGTCCAAAACACACTTGTGAGAAAAAGCCTGTCGAAGTTTTCGGCAGGCTTTTTTTTCAATGAACTTTTTTGTTTCTCGCTGGATATTGATGAAAATTGGCACAGGCACTAAGAATAACCTCACAGTGCTTTCATAAAAATTTTGAAGCGATACCACAAATACTTTACGAGAAACAAATTATTTCTTCACTGAACCATGTAGAGGGGCTGAGCATAATGTCAAAAAAAAAAAAAAAAGCAGTATTGAGAAAGCTGCGTTTAAAGTTTCAACTTTTCTTTACGTCTTTAGGACACCAAAAAATTGTGATCTCAGGTTTGTCTTGTGATATTTGACTTCTTTTCATGATTTACTCCTTTTCATGAGTTACCAAGAACAAGTATGAATTTCAAACCAAGTTCTTTGTATGAAGGAGTGGTGTGATAAGTATGACAGAAAAGATTGTAATTGAATAAAACCATATACTGAAATTATTAAACATACTTTTTTGTGCTGAAGTTGTAATTAGCGTAATTAAGTACTTGATTACAAATATTCATTGAACTTTTTTTATTTGGAGAGAAGTTTATTGCATCAGAAAAATGGATCACACCATGACGGCCTATGCCTTCTTTCCAAATAACAAAGTTATGGGCAGAAGACTGGTGGCACGGGAATTTCTAGCAGTATAATTAATGACACGAAACGGGCATATAAAAATTCGTGCCCCTGATTCACACATGCTCTTTCGCCGCTCTAGCTGTGAAACGCATCATCATACAGCCGGTCGCGGAAATTCTAATCTACAGCAATTCATCAACCTCGGAACATTCATAGACGTTCGTGGAGATATCAAGCACGCTCCAAGCACGTCTGAATCGCATCACAAAAGCTTACTGACGGCACTCCATATGACCGTGGGGTGCGCGGCCGCGTGGACAGTGCAGCCGGCGCGTAATGCACTTGCCGGCGGCGTTCGATGACGATCCGCGAAATGAGTAACTACGAAGACAAAAAATCGGCACGCACTGCACTTGGCATCGCATTTTCGAATGACGACGCGCGAAACTGCTAGCTGCTGTTCCGAGCGATCCTTGGCAGTTAGGGGGGGGGGGGGGGTGACGAGCTTGACTGTGTTGTCCGCTGCCGATGCGTAAAATGCCCGTACAATATTCGGAGGAGCTAGCGAGTGATGTGGTACATTCCTTGCGAAGAAGCACGTCACCAAGAGTGCGCTTGCGCGTCGTTCCTGCCCGCAGTCTCGCTGTCAGCGGAGTTTGGCCTAAAGCCGACTCCGATGACGCGCCGCACTCGTAGACCGCCGCGCGCCCGCTCGTAGTAATCTGATCGTGCATCCGGTGCGGCCACTCGTAGTAATCAGATCGTGCCGCCGCTTACAGCTTCGTTGCTTGCGAAGAAACACGTCGCCACGAATGCGCTAGCGGGTCGTTCCTGCCCGCAGTCGGCGGAGTTAGGGCTAAAGACGACTTCAATGACGCGCGGCGCTCGTAGACCGCGCTGACGCTCGTAGTAACCTGATCGCGCATCCGCTTACTGCTCGTAACTAAAGCGTAGTTATATCTTAAGTGATTATCAAGCCGTGAACACGTCACGAAGTGGCGATTTTCAAGAGCCATGTCCTCGCGACGCACAAGCAGCAGACGACGATCTCCCGGAGCGAGCATCGGGCCAATGGCGAAGCGAGCTGAGGCAACATGGCGGCCACGGCCAATCAAGGGCCTCAAAACGACCTTCAAACATTTGCTTTTTGCTCGCTTGTTGTTAAAGGGAGGAGCCAGCTGAGGCGGGAAAGTTAAACACGGAAAAATGCTCTTTCCGATGAGCCCAAGAAGCCGGCTCCCGGCCCAAGCATAGCGAAGCTATTATTTTTTGAAAATCGCCGTTTTCTCGCCATTTCCAGAAATATTTTTGCTACCTAGGTGGGTGAAACGAATTTTCCGAAACACTTCTGCGCGGTTTTCAGTGTAGATATTTTGGAACCAGATAGAAAAAGGGTTCCAGAAACTGAAAACTTGAGTTTCAAAAAATCGATTTTTTTGCCATTTTTCGCGATCCCAAAGCCGCGTCCCCCCTTAAGTTCACTCCCTATTGTTTAAGGCCATCATAGAAAAAAGTGCTTAATTAAAAGTGATATTAAAGATATGCCAACATAGAATAATGACTATAGACCGAAATTATGCAATAGTTTTCTGTCTTTAGGCCTTTCTTGGTTATTTTACAGCAAAATGAACTATTCCTTCTCAAAAGCAGTCAGTATTACAATTTTGATGAGTAAATAATTAAAAATGCTTGTGCTCTATGTTCTGCTTTCATACTTGCATTCTACACACATACAGGTTTCCATTGCAGAAAGAATTATTGTTGTACGTGTCCTAGCTGCAGAGATATTGAGGCCTCAATATTGAACAGTCGTAATTTTAGTTCTTCAGAAAATTTGAAGAAACTGAAAACACACAGCTTCTTCAAAAAGCAACATTCATGGTGCACATGTTTTGGAATCCTCATAAAGGTGCTCATAAATTCGTAGCAGAGCTTCTATTTAACACAGGTGCTGGCAAATTATGAAGAAGCCTCGAAGTCCGTTGCCCATTTTTTTGCAGGTTCTGCATGTTAACAGCACCAAGAATCTGGACTGTTAGAATGACATTACAAAAAAATTACCACTCCCTTGTGTGTGAAAATTTGCAGATAGATAGAAAAATACTTGCAGAAAGGAGGTATGTCAATTTGAAAAAATTAATTTTTCCCACATCGTGGTAGTGTGGAGACCACTCGTGGAGACCTCTCTGCCCCCTTGATAAGTGATAATCACTAAAGTACTGTAAAAACTGGAATATTGTTCGAAGTTTAAAAAAAAAACAAGTCAACCATCGTCTTATATACCGGTCATTGGCAGAAAAAAATGTGGAAGTCTTGCAACAATGGGCAGCTGAAGTCAGAAGCCTCCATTGTCATCGTGAGCATGACTAGTGTTTGAGGGCTAGACAAGGCCTACGATGTACTAGCAACACCTTGTTGCTTCGGTTATCTTTGTCAGTCTGCTGTTTTCTTTTTCTATTTCTTTCAGAAAGGAGTGGTAGGCTGTGGCAGTTTACGATAGGTTTTTGAAAAAAAAAAGTTATCGAATATGCCGAAGCGCACGGCAACCTGGCGGCATAACAGGAATTTGGTGCATTGGAGACAAGCGTCTAATATTGGAGAAGCCAAAAGCAGCTCAGCACATGCTACAGCAACAACAACAAAAAAAAAAAAATCATTTCGTAGACAGATTGCAGTGCACGCCAAACTGGAAACACTACTCGTCGAATTCGATCGGGAGTTGCGTGCAAGGTCGCTATCTGTGACAGCGGAGTGCATCCAGGTGAAAGCTATGCAGATAGCGCACGACTGTGGGCTCATGAGGGCGCAATTAAAGGGCTTGCTATCGTAGGTGCGCTGAGATTTGTGATGCCGAAGGCCTTTGCACTTCGGCAGCGCGCTTTCATGTGCCAGAAACTGCCTGAAGATTTTGATAATAAGCTGCTTGAATACAGTTAAACCTGGAAATAACGAAATTGACAAATTTACAAAAAAATTCGTTACAAAAAAGGTTTCATTATATGCAGGTTTAGTATGAAAATTCCAAAAAAAAAGGCACAAACTAAACAAACGGCAGTCTGAATGCAGAGATAACCCAAAACTCTTATTGAGCAGTAAAAAACTGCGTTACTGTTGTGATAGCATTTATATGGACACACTCGGCAAGTCTTCACCGTCGTCGCCTTGTTCTGTAACAAGTCTGAATTGATTAGATAACAAGTCTGAATTGATAAGATGCCCCGACACATCGTAACTTTCAGGAGCGGGTAAAAGCCCACAAGCACTGCTGAAGCAGAGATCAAATAAGTCGGCCCATCTCTATCGTCTGGAAGGAGCATATGATAACATCCCCTGTGTGTTTGGACTCCCATCAAATGCTCAGAGAGGGAACTGCCCGTCCTGGAATGAGCATGAAAAATGCTAGGGGGGGGGGGGGGGGGAGGTCACTCAGCAACAATGAAATTTGATTTTAAGGGTGGTCGCGATCACTGGTGCAATTTCTATCACCGCAAGTATCAGTGCACTTTTAACGCGAATATACTGTGTGAGAAGAGCACTTCTGTTTGGAGCGGCCGCCTTTGCTCACACCAGCGTTTTGTAGGAGTTCGGCGAAATTCGATCCGACAGAGTTAATTGGCCTTACTTCGTTTATCATTACATACTTTAGATATTGCATTCATTGCATTGCATTAAACATGCCAAAACTAACTGGCTAATTGCCAGAACTAATAGGCTAATTGCAATATCTACGAGCCTGCGAACTCTCGGCGCGGCGCAATACGGAAATGTGTGATAAGTCGACCTCCGAAGATCTGTCGTCACTGTGGTCTCGCAGAGCTTCCATCAGCACCTAATATGACATCCCTTTGCATGTGATGACATGGTTGTCAATATAAAAAAAAAACTAAAGCGAGAAGAAAGCAAAGCTGAATATCGTCGGAGGCTGCAACATGCGCACGCAGTGAAACCATGCACGCGTGCACAGTGTCTAAAACGAAGAGCGAACGACTCAGACACAGACACGCATATCGCCGAAAACTATTCGATAAAGCGCCCTCTGAGATACCTGCCAAGTCTCGCGGATTGGCCGGGAGACTCCCGGATTTCTACTATTTTTTTCGTCTGTATGCTTCGGCACATCACGGCGAGCTGGTGCTTTTTTTTTTAGTGTTCACACACACACGCACGCGCGCGCACACACACACACACACACACATGTAGACATGTATACACACAGTGAATGACGGCGGCGATGGCAAGAAAATCAGCCTAGACTGTCCATATAATTGCTATCGTAATAAATAAAAGAAGCCAGATGCATTTCGGCGTTCCTATAAAAAAAATGTAGCGAGCAAAGCTTTGACTTGCGCTTTTGCGGCAGCCAGCTGCACCGTCTTGTCCGTTCACGTGTGTCCCAGGAAGACATACGCGAGTTGTTTTGACCGAAATAGATTCTGGTAGTTGTGCTGATTCTTCGAGACTTTCAGCTTATATGGAACCCTACCCTCGTGTGTTCGGCCACTCCAAGCCACCATAAGACTGCAACACTGATGTTGGCGGCTGCAATTCACATCCCCCACTCCGCCCTTGTTTTTTGCAATGTTTTTGTTTCTTCGTTTGTCTATGGGTTTTTTTTTGGTGTCGAAAAAGAAATATTGGCGAATAATTCAGTGCACCCCCTGTTGCTGAAATCTCCCGGATTAAAAATCCTTGAACTTGGCAGGTATGTTCTATGTGCAGTGCAGTTCCACGTATGACTTTAAGAGCGTGGCACCCCCAAGGCAATAGTAGTTTTTTTTCTGCTTTTGTTCTTGGTTTGAAGGGAGAAGGGGGCACATGAGCATATGCTTCTGCAGGGGCAAGAAGGTTGGCAACACCGCCTCGTGGGGCGCAGTCACGAGTGCTCGCTCTTGCCTGCTGCGCTGCGTGCGCCGCCGCCACTTCGCGCTTCATCGGCTGTGGGGCACCCGCGGAAGCTGCATGCTCCTACGAAAATCCGAGCGAAATTCCTAGGTTGTTTATCGAGAAAATTTGTTATATCAGGGTAGTCTCTCTCTGTTACCTTGTTACATAGAAGTCACAAATACATGTGCTTCTATGGAACAACGGCAGGGAATAGAAAAAAGTTACAGCTTTGTCGCAAAGGCGAAGCAATGAACGCGATAGCAACAAATTGGAAGGTCACGCGCAGAATGGCAAGCAGATTGAAACGTGCCTCGCGTTTCGTACGCACAAATGACGCACAAAATGTACTCACAGGTAAAGACGAACGTGAATAAGCATCTCATTTGTTACTTCGCTGTGTTTGAAAATCATGCCCTTTTCGCAAACGAAGGCTGTGCAACGATTGCATTGACCTTTGTGCGCCCAGTAACTACAACAGAATTGTTAGAGTGCAAGCCCAACACGGGCCAAGACGAATGATCCTCCCCACCAGGAGATAAGTGCGCGTGAAGGATTGTCCACTACCCTCCTCTCCTCGGGCCAAAGTACGCGGGAGAGATGAGAGCCACCGCACGCTCATTGCGCCATCTTGCTCATAATGCTGAAAACACTCCTTGAGATGCCTGCCAACAGAAGTAAGTGATAGATATAAATAGCTTGCCGTTTGAACAATGAAGGAGTTACCCCTCGTTAGCTCAGTGGTTAACGCCTTGCATTCACGACGCGGATGTCCCACGTTCGATTCCACATGCCTGAATTAGTTCTTGTGGATTTTTTTCTGTCTTGCGTTTTTATACACATAATACGTATATGTACATATACGGTGCATGACATCGACGCCCGTCCGGCGGCGAAAACCAGCTGAGAGTGTTCGTATAATTGCTATCGTAATAAAACTTCGTTATCAAGGAATTGATTATACCGAGGTTCGTTATAAGTAGGTTTAACTGTTCAGTCAACGCCGCTACAACTAAACTGACAGGGCGCAAAAAAATTTCGTTGAAGTGAAAATTTCATTGTAGTGAAATCGAAAAAATATGGCTCATTTGAGCTAGCAAAACAAAGGAACATTTATTCTCAAAACTCGAAAAATGGCCGCTGCTTCCTATTTTTTTGCAGCAGCGTTACAACATGATTCTCACCCATGCATAGCGAGGCCATGGTGAAAAGCACGCTGAAATACTGCCTAAAACCGCCTTCATGAACCAACCAAACAGTTGCATTAACACGTTAACACCAGCAGCTGTCCGCCGTCAAAAGTATCCGACAACGCCGAGATGGAGGCAGGGTATCGTGGAGTGGCAACTTTTGCATTATTCTATGCCATTCTTATAATCTACCACTTGCGGCTAGCTGACTTGATTGAGAATGCGGTTGAACAGTTGCTCTGATTAATTACCACACTGGCCAAGCGCGAACACAATGAGAGGCATCGTAATCCGAAAAGGCATCGTTCCGCGGTTACACCCAGTAGCTGCATGAAGGAGACCATGAACTCTGCGACTGAGCTTCAGCTTCAGATCGTCTGCGGCTCAAAAGCAAGCCATTAGCAAAACAAAAGCAGGGCATTCTCATTGCCATCGCTATCGAGCAATGGCCGCGCCCATGCTTGCTGAACAACGACGGTATAGCGGTGGTTTCTGGTGGTGCCAACACGTGTTTTAGACTTCATTAAGGCATTTTCAGGTGCTGAAGATGCATCGAAATGTTAAAATTTGGTTTACTGCATAGAAATAAGTATCTGAGCCTGGAATTGCATCGTAAAATTTCGTTGAAGTGGGACGATCGAAGAAAAAGTGTTCGTTGTGTCGACAATAGTTATGCATTGACTCTTATGAGCTGCTGACGGGGAATCGTGAATTTTTCATTGTAGCCTAAATTTCGTTGAAGCGGCGTTCATTGTAGCGAAGTTCGACTGTATCAGCGCTTCGTCATCGGGCTCACTGTCAGCTGCCTTAAAGCCAGAAACACTGTCACTCATAGATGCCTACATTTTTAGTGGCAATGTCAAGAAATCGGAACGAAGGAATAATTGTGCAGAGGGTGATTGTCTCAGAATACTGCCCCACAGTGCTTTGTGCCATATGCATTAATTACAGCACGTGACAACATTGTCACGCGCTTTCCAACTCTGGTCATCATCTGCGATTGCTTTGTTAGTTTTTTGGCTTTTTTTTTTCTTTTTACTGCAGCGCCTTTGGTGAGTAGTATACAGTTTTACCTGCCTATATTTGGCCTCCATACGATGAATTTGCCAGTGTTACAAGCTTTTGATATTCCCCGTGATTACTCCATGAAACCCATGCTATTGTGACCACTTTGTGACAAAGTGACAGTAAGCACCCTTGAAATAACAAGTTTCCCCCGCTGCCTACCCGTTGATCTCCTGCCAAATTTTGTCATAGCACAAGTGGCAGCATCTTATGTAATTGCTGGGTGACGAAGGAGTGTAAAGCGGCATCATTGTACACATGGCATGCACGTAGTCCGGCAACAGAACGCGCTAGTGTGTGTGCGGAGAGGCTTGGGCAAACGGAGCATCTAATTTGCGAAATTCAGCAAAAACCCACTCACTTTGCCATCTAAGGGACCAGAAAACAAAGGAAGCCGTACCACTTGTACTTTGGCAGCACCTGCATATACACCACACGATGCAAACATCATTCCGATCGTCGGAATGTTGAACCATTTATGGTCTTTGTTCTCTTTTTTTTTTTAGGAAGACATTGCAGGGGCTCCCAGGCGAGAAAAGCCAATGGAAAGCAACGGCACAACTGAAAAGTCCCACGCGGCTAGAGGAGACTCCATTACCTTTAAGGGCGAGGAACGCAGTAGTGAGGACTCAGTTCAAAAGGAAAATGATTCTCCAAGCCAAGGCAGTCATTCCAATGCCGATCGGAACTCTGCCAGTGCTGCACTCACCGAGCCACCTGATAATAAAGACCAGAAGCGGGACAAAGAGAAAGATGCGGACATGTTGTCCAAAAAATGTGAGGAAGCACCCGCAGTCGACGACTTGGTCGAGGACAAAGATACGAAAAAGTTGAAGGAAAGTAATGGTACAGAGTCTGATCCTCCACCTGCGACACCTGAAGAACCACCTGGTGGCAATGACTGGGAGCGGGACAAGGCAGAAGAGGCCGTGGACCTGCAGGCTCATGGCAGCAAAGAAATTGCTGACAGTGGTGAGGCTGGTCAGGAGAATGTGGCTATGACAAAGACAATGTCCGGTGATGAAACACCTGTTCTTTCATCGGCGCCATCCCCCGAAGGGCTGGTTAGGACTAACCAGAGGGAACTGCGGCCAGCAGACGACGTCGCTTGTGCTACAGAGTCGTCTGCTGTGACGACGGGCAACTTGGAGGGCAAGGAGAGTGCAGTGACAGATGAATCGCTCAACAGGGAAGATGCGGCGGCAGCAGGTAGCTCCAAAGTCGTGTCCGATTCTGCTCCTTCAGCTACTCCGGAGCGGCCCAGTAGCCCTGACGGAAGTTCGGGAGACAAGAGCCCCGAGAAGCAACGCGACGAGGAGGAGGATGAAGACGACTACCTTCTGTATCTGGAAGAGATACTGCGAACCATCCACTGTGCTTACTATGCCATCTACGACCAGATGACCTCTGAGGAAGGGGGTCGCATTCCCGATCTCAAGCACGTTGTGCCCTACGTGCGTCGCAAGGTTCTCAAGGGAGTCCACATAGTGTTTTCAGGAGTGGTGCCCATGAATCAGGTGAGTTCCTGTGGGGCCGGGAGTGTGTTGGCAGGTTTCGTGTGGCTGTCGTTGATGAAACCTCTCGCAGATTGAAAGAAAGTTTTTTTTTTTGTTTAATGTTAGCTTGTTAAATTTGATGACAGAGCCATGCAAGTAACAATATTATTGCGATGCTATTGTTTGTTGCACATCACAGGGTAGTATGACACTTCGGTCGTTGAATAAGAAACAGTGGAACCCTGATTATACAACTTTCAGGGGACCACGCAAAACCGCTGTATGTTCCGGGCATCGTATAATAAAAAAACTAAGATTATAGGCAGCGACACTAAGCCTTGCCCAAAAAATTATGGACCGTCTTCCTGAAGGAAACACTGATGGGATGCGAAGCAGCAGCCGTGCGCACGACATTGATTTGGTTGAAACGAGCGTCGATGCAGGTGCTGGAAAAACAGTTGGGCTTGGGAAGTTCGGGTGGGTAATGGTAACCGTGCGCAACTCTCATCATTGGAACCTTGCCCGCCGTCAGCCACTCCTTGGAAGTGGTGCAGACTGTGAAAACGGACGGGTTCCTGCCAAACTCGCATCTAATTACTTCAGTTTTCGCCTCCAACTGCTTGCCGTTGCGGATGCAACGATCATTGAACAGGTAGTTTTCGAACCACAGAAGGTCGCACATGCGGCAACTGTGGCCGAAGCTTCGTTCGGAGAACTCTCAACGCAAGCGGGCGCCAGCCCCGGTGTTGTTGGTGGCATCGCGGATGGCTCTGGCCATGCTGGTCGCAATCAGTGTCGCGGCGGCGACACGCCTCCGGATCGGCCAGCAAAGTCTGGCGCTTGCGAGCGGCTGCTTTAGTGGAAAGCACGAGGCGCTTTCGAGACGTTGCCGACAATGGCAATGTCGAGGATTTATATGCAAGAGGCTTTGTCAGTTAAGGCTTTATCAGCGAGGCTTTATCATCAAAGAAATCAACAAAAAGCTTTCGTCCTTTCGTGTTCTCTTTGCGTTCTTCAGTTCCCCAACAGGAGTATAGAAGAGAACAGAAGACTACAAGACCTTGGCTAGAGGGTTTTGAAAATGCAAGAGAAGGGGGGGGGGGTGGCAAAAAAAAGCCATATGAAAGTGAAAATGGAAACAAAGATTGTCTAAAACATAAAACGGCAACCATATATGTGGCACTCACTCTCCCAACAGAAGAGTCAGATGCATTGTCATCGTCGTCACACATTGCCGTCTCAGCGCATGTTGTGGTGAGTTTGCGTTGTTTTGCATAGGGCCTGTGCGCGTGATATCTGTTCCCAGTGTAATGCAGCAGATTGTGATGCACCATTTTCATCATGAAAGTGCATGCATGACAAAGGAAGGTTATTTTGCACACTAAATATAGCTGCGTTGGGTCCTTCTTGTGTGCCCGAGGCTTGCGATCGTGAGTAGCGTAAACTGCGACCTTCAACTGCATTTTGTTCAGGAAAAGTTACTGCGGGCTGCAAAGAATGAAATATGAACCTCAAAGAAAAGCTTGCAGATTAGCTTTGTTGAAGTGGCAGTATGCTATGGAGGCGTATCCAAAAGTAATAGCAAAGCCAGTTTGCCTCTCAGAAGAACAGCCAGAAGAATAATTTTTTCATTCTTTGAAGGAAATTCATGCTTGTCTTTCCCTTTTCTCTTTTTCTAATCATCAAAACATGGTCGTGCTACAGTTTTATTGCTAAAATGTAGTAGCAATATATTTGTGAGCATGTTTATTATGAACTTGTGAAATTGAGTACTCATTACATTAGTCTAATATACTCTACTTGAAAGCATAGTTTTTATTAACCTGAGCCAAACAAATGATTTTTCTTGTTCTTTTTCTCTACATTATAAAAACACTTTGTTCAGAGTCCTCAAGCAACATATTTGGATGTACTTGGCGTGGTAGCATTTGATATTGAGGGGCACTCCTGATAAGACGAACACATGATCTTGGTCCCTTAGTTCGTTTTAGAAGGAGTCTGCCTACAAATATTCGTATGTGGCTAAACTTTTACGAGTTTTAAGAGCCAATGTCACATTATCGTAAATTGTTTCAGAAAAGTTTGCTTGCTTTATTTCTTTTTTATGCAGCCTGCGGAGAAGAGTCGTGCGTGGCAAGTCGCAAAATCTTTAGGTGCTACCGTGTCACAAGACCTTTGCCCCGGTGTGACTCATCTCGTAGCAGCGAGGCTTGGTACAGCAAAGGTAATGAATAGATTTGCACAAATATTTATTGTACTCATATCCTTGATGGAACATTTAAATACTTATTTAATAATATTCGTTTTTGTTGGAATTGCTATTTTTGAAAGACTTCGTAGCATGTCCGTGATCACACGCAGTTCAGTCGACTCTCAGTAAGCGGAAGTCTGTTAAATGGAGCTGCTGCTTAAACAGAAAAAGCACATCTGACAAGATTAGTTTCGTTCTTTCATTCTGCACACCTGGTCATCTCTCAGGAAACGGAACTCCTGTTAAATGGAGCATATTTTACAGGTCCCTCCAGGTTCCATTTATTGAGAGTCTACTCTACTTCACAGCATCGACGAGTTCATCATCCGAGTCGAAGTGCCTACCTTTCAGATGCCACCATGTCACTGAAGGTCTGAAAACAGTGGTGATGAATCGCGGCTAGTTTAAGACCTTCAGCTGCTAGCAATCCAATAATGCTTCGTTGCTCCCCCATTGTCGAATTTTGCAACCTTTACGTCCTCATATCTCGCATGACAGCTCTCTTTATAAAAGCACCTGCTCTCTGCTGCGCCTGCGGGCGCCCCCGCATGCTCCGATACTTGGTGAACCCTCCAATTGCATTCCTAGATGTCTCGATGCACTCTGCCACTGCGTCATAAGCATCTGTGCTAACGGTCATGTTGTTACAATGTTCAGGGGTGGGAGTGCTGCGCCAATTTGCGCCAATCTAAGCTGCTGCGTCAGGCTGCGCATAAACGGCAATTTCGGCAATAATTGTCTATTGGAAGTGTAAGCCGCAAATCTAGCCGATTAATATCGTCGACTGAGCAACACTGGGCGTTGGCTACACACAGGACAGGACGCAGCCACATTCATGTCCAGCGAAGTTCGATCGCGTTGTATCGAAGTGGTATAGGTGTTCTCTGGTTGTATTTTGGTTTTCTAGTGCTCGTCTCATCGCAGTTATCATTGTGATTTTCCCGCGATAGTGGTGGAACCAACATGAGTAACTGTGAATTATCTAGTAGTAGAGTGAAACCTCGCTAATTTGTACCAGCCGGAAATACGGCTAAACCGCAGTGCGCGCTAACAAGCACAAATGTATATCTCCTGAAACAGGTACAGTACCACAGCAGATGTTGTCAAAAGTACCCGCCAGAAAGTCTTTTCTTCATTCTGCCAAAGCCCGAAATATATACTGGGCTGGCACTCATTTTATAGCACGCAGTTCTGACACCAAAGAGCATTTCAGCCCGTCCGGGATATGTAGCAACTGAAATAGCGATAGAACAAACACTATCGGCTTTCCGCGCTACATAGGTGCGCTTTTATACTGTGATACTAAGAGACAACTGACAGTTTCATTGAAACATGGTGCGGTCGCGTTGACTCTGAAAATCTACTGGTTAGTTGCGTGCAGAGTGGCCCCCAGGCTGCCCACGTCGTTGTTGTCGGGCGGCTTGCACTGCCGTGTGCGCAGATTTGCTGAGTGATTTGCTCGTCCCCTCTTCGCTCCAGACCGCGCACAGACGAGCAGAGTAGTGTGTTTATAACTAGCGTGGGGATAACAAACTTTCTCCAAGCAAAGTTTGCCGCGATTACCTATACTCCGTTTCACACGTAAGGTGCAACATAAGTTGCAACGCTACTGTGGCTAGGGAGACTCTTTGCAGTGAAAGCGTTCACGTAAGAAAATAGTTTCCCGTTTTTAGCACCCGGAATATACATCAGTAGCAAAATCATGAGCCAAGAGCCAGGCAACCAAAGAGACGTGGTCCAGCACGTGCTTGGCATCCTGGGACGTCAGCGGCTGAAGGCGGTGTCCCCACGGATTTGACGCGAGTAGGTTGCTGCTCCGGGATGTCCGAGCAGGCTAGTCTATCTTTAATTCTCCTTCCTCTTTCCCCTTTATGCTGGATCAACAATAAAGTTGTTTCACTCACTCACTTTTTTTGTTTCAATTTGAGTATTAAATGAGCATGTTTTGAATCACAGACACCCACCCACACATATTTGTGTGTGGTAAGTCTGGTAAGCTTGCTAGTACTGAATGTTCAGTGCGAACCATTGTAACTTTTTTTTTTACTAGAAATAACTTTGATAATGATGTTTGACTCTAGAAAGCTGCTTCCAAAATAATTTGCGTTGCTCCAAAACACACCTTTTGCTGCTCCGAACTTGCTCCAAAATTACCTTTTTACTGTGCCAAAACTGCTCTAAAATAGCATTATAGCATTATTCTTGCTTCCTGAGCTGCTCCAAAACACTCAAGTCCACTTCCACCCCTGAGTGTTTTGTACCTACTCATTCGAACACTCCTTGTAACTGCTGTATGTATTAACATCATTGTTGGTCGAGCCATTTTATCTAAGTTTTCAAATCCCAAATTAAGGGGTTGACTTGCAGTTGAAATCAAAACTAGTACCTCCTGTTACAGCGGGATAAACGAGAAATCGGGCATGTTGAGGCATAGTTACAATAGTATGATGTTTACTTCATTCTGCACGCTTCTTTAAAGAAGTGTTTTTTTTTTCAGCTTTTATGGAGTCGATGTTTGTCAGCAACGCCGCTGCTGATTGGAATGCAGCTCTTGCGTGAATGGCTGACACTGAAAAGAAATGGCGTGCGTGGCTCTTATGGGAATGTTGATGCTTGATGGAAGGGCTGCTGTTCAAATCAACAGCGGAACTCCTGACGATCGGTGATGATTTTTTTTCAGGGAGCACTTCAGGGGCAGTTGGAAGGTAATGAAGTGATCAGGAGGGCTGGCTTGATGAACAGGGAGAGGGAGGACGCATTCGCACGCTTTGTTGTATGTGCAAGGCTGGTGTAGGAAGGAGGTATCTGCATTCAAATAAACTTACAATTGTGTAAATACTACTGTAGTATTTAATAACAGCATCAAGGCCTCATTTTGGTAGCAGTACTTTTTGCAAGGTAACACTTGTCTGATTCATATTGTTCAGGTGAACAAGGCCCGCCGAACGCCTGGTGTTCACGTGGTGCACCCGTCGTGGCTGTGGTGCTGTGCCGAACGTTGGGAGCATGTTGCTGAGGCCCTCTTCCCTCTGAGGCCACCCGGTCGAGAAGGCGCGTCTTATAGACGGCTGCAGGAAAACGCAGTCGGCCAGCATCCCAAGGTGCGTGGAGGACACCTCTTATTACTGACCATCAGTCGAAATTGCATCAATTCAGATCACTCTTTCACAGTTAGTACATCCTTGCTATATATGCAAGAACAAGACAATAGTTCGGGCAGGTATGCTCTATAGGGGAGATAACCAAGGAAACCGGAAATTGTGGCGTTTCCCTCTTCCTAAGCATGACTTCCCTTTCCCGCCTTTGCTAAATTATACTGTACAAAATGCTTTACTCTCACTCTCACATATTTCTTCATTGTATGAAGCGGTTGCGTAATGAGATAATTGTCAGAATTAAGAAAGTTATTAAAAAATGGCACGGTATTCGAAAAAGTAAACCTAATCATTGTGGCATTTGCATGAGTGAAAAAATAAAAAAAAAGACCGCTGTGGCTTAACTCGGTTATGCCAGGTTGTGTGTAGTGAGAGGTACGGTTAATCTTGTCATTTAGCTTGGTTCTGTGTACGGTAACGCTTCTCGAGGCACGTGGCTCGCTCTTCCCCCGTCTCCTCGGCTCGCTACCCCCTTCTGGTTTCGTTCCATCTACGAAGCTGGCGTCTCTCCAACTCACTTTCCGTGTCTGCTGACGAATCCTATCAAAGCCGCCCCTTACATGTGCAATGCAACGCTGGCTCCTCCTCTGCTAATTTTCAGTGGCGCTACTGAACATGGACAGGGTAGAACATGCACTCAACGCTTACTTTGAACTGGAAACGTGGTTGCAGCGTTGTTTCACTGAGTAGAGAATGTGCACAGTAATACGTAACGTGGACTTTGAACTGGAAGTGCAGTTGCAACGTGCTTTGACCGGCTTCTTTTCTAACATCGCATGTCAGATCACGCAGCGAGTGGTGCGGCCACAGCGAAACTGCGAGATACGGCCTATGTAGCTCTCACTACAAAAAGAAGACACACAAGCATACAAGATGTGGGCTCAACACCGGTCCCATGGCGATGGCCCTGCCAAGCACGCACGGGCTAGTCAAGGGAAGATGTGCGAGTCACGGATGCTTATCCCCTTAGGCGTGAATCATGATGCACTTGCTGCGAAGGCATGAAATTCTCATGGCATGATTCCTAAGCACTCCGTATTACATTCTCCGATGAAGGCGGAAATGTTGCAGGCCCGTGTGCTCAGATTTGGGTGCACATTAAAGGAAGCCAGGTGGTTGAAATTTCCGGAGTCCTCCACTACTGTGTCTCTAATAATCATATGGTGGTTTTGGGATGATAAAGCCCGCATATCAATCAATCAGTATTAAAATTCTGCAAAGAAAATCGAAAAATACATTGCTTTGTTGTAATTTTCAGTAATACTGTTAATTAGCTCATAATTAAATATGCAATTATTCTGTATTCAGTATGCTTGAACCCTTGCATTAAAAGAATCAAATATTAGGCCCGAAATCGCATGCATGCTTTGTTTTTTGATAGTACTCGTTTCCAGCAGAAAAAAATATACTCTTGACGTTAACCTGAAACGCGGCCTATCAAACATGGTGATGAAATGCACACTGCATTTCAAGCAATTAAAAAAAAAACACGTGTTGCATGACGCGCCTTCAAATGCAAGATTCAACACACAGCGCCTGCAGGAGTTGGGGGTGGGACCAATCTGGCTGGCTGCTTCTGCTGCTTTAGCATTTCAAAAGCTTCTTTTCGCAGGGTCTATACGTCACTTCTGGACCAACTAGGCTTCGGCCTTCGTGTTATTGAAGGGGCCCTAAAACACTTTTTAATGTAACCATGAAATAGATATCTAAAAGAGCTTATTGCTTGACAAGTTCAACACCGCAAAAATGTCAAGAATTCGTCCAGTATGAGCCGAGTTACAAAGAATTGTGGCATGCTGCAATCGCATTCTCTCTTCTCTTGCACCGACGAAAGTGCTGGAGCCTAAGCAGGGAGGGATGGCAGGGGCAAAGAAAATACGTCACACGTGCCTCGTGACCGTGAGCATTTTTTCTTTTTGAATTCGCGACCTTTTTCATGGGATTGCGCGCACGCGTGGACAAGTGGCCTCATGCAGCGATCACTGTAACCACTGAGCGTGCCATGTTTAAATCAGCCAATGGCTGATAGATGGCCTTCTACGCGCAAGTTTTGAGTGTTTTCTGTCATTTCTCGAGAGAAGAGAAAGCAATTTTTTGCTGGCTTTAATCATTTATTGTGAATTGAAGGCCGCGTGCTGTGCTATATTATTTAACTCGCATGCAGGGAGCCTCGACTACTTAGAGACAGCGTTTTCTGACCATTCTCAAAAAATGTTGCAAGGCCCCTTCAAGTACTAAGCATAACCTGTCGTTTTTATTGGTGTAGCTGTTCCGAGTCTGCAACATCAGCATGTCGGTCTCGCATCACACAGATCGTGGAACCAGAAGAGGTATAGTCGATAAAGGAATGATTAAACAATCACAGCTCTGCCACAAAAGCTAAGCAATGAGCGATAGCAACAAAATTGAAGGTCATGCACAGAAAGGCAAGCAGATCGAAACGTGCCCCGCGTTTCTCACACACAAACGATGCACAAAACGTACTCACAGGTAGAGATGAGCGCGAATAAGCGTCTCAGTTGTTACTTCGCTGTGTCTGAAAAGCATGCCCTTTTCGCAAACGAAGGCTGTGCAACGATTGGAGTGACCTTTGTGCATCGGCAACTACAACAGAATTGTTACGATGACACCCAAAAGCTACCCAAGATGTACGATTCTCCCCACTGCAAGATAATGGTGCGCGTTCGAGCGTACACCGCCTTAATCTCTACGCGGGCCAAAGTACGCGTGAGAGCCGCCACGCGCTCACTGCGCCATCTTGCTGATAATGCTGAAAACATGATAGTCCCCCCGAGCTGCCCGTCAACAGTGGTAAGTGGTAGATATGAATGGCTTGTTGTTTGAACGTTGAAGGAGGTACCTCTCCATGGCTCAGTGGTTAACGCCTCGCATTCACAACACGTGGGTCGTACGTTCGATCTTGCGCGCCGGGGTCTTTTTTCTGGGATTTTTTTCTTTCTTGCGTTTTCATATATTTAGATACATATATTTATGTGGTGCCTGACATCAACTTCGATGCCCACGTCGGTGGTGAAATATAGCCAAGAGCCATATCATTGCTATTGCAATAAAACAAATTTATGCTCAACACTATGACGCGGATGCTGCTAAATTATAACGCTTGACATGATTATGATAGTGATGACATTGGGGATGATAATGGAGATTGCCATCTCAAACACCGTCCTTATGTCTGTCCATAGTCATGCAGGGGCTGGCTCTTTGCCTCACCACCAAGGCCACTCGTAATGATGGCTAGAGGCCAGATTTCTGGGCACTAACAAGTGCGTTTTTAGGCACGCAAAATATGCTGCCAGAAAATGTTTTTAAGCGAAAGAAGTAGACAGGCAGAACCGGTCCCAGGGCTCCAACATCGCAAATGTAAGCACAATACATTTTCACATGCATGTGAATAATTTCAAAAGAAACTCGTGTACGACCTGTATCTACAGCGACAAAGCAAAAAAAAGTTATGAAGGCGGAAGCCTTAAAACGTCTATCATATGCAAAAGTTAACTGGCGTTCCCCTTTGGCGTTGTCACCACGAGTGATCTGAAAAATTGTCATCACATGATGGCATCACCATATGGCGTCGTCGGGATGTCGCAGAACCTCTAAAGTTGTGATGTTATCGTGACATTGCTGTAACAGCACCAGACGACGTCATCACATAGCGTCCTTTTTTGGTTAAAGGGGGCTGGCAACGGAGGCCAGCCCCCTTTAACCGATGCGGGTCGAAGACACTTTTTTTTTTAATATTCATTCGAGAGCAATGAAACTTGAGGTGCTTATAGAACTTTTTATGCTGATTTCGAATATATAATGAGTTGTCTTGCAAGTTGCATACTTTTAGTTTTGCAACATGACAAAGTGAAAAACTTAAGCCCTTTGCCCCCCCTCTTTTCATACCTAAACTTCATTAATTTTTTACAATTGATAGTTCATAATGTTTCAAATGAAGTGTGGAATGCAAACAACTAATTTGGAAGTCCATACAAAATATGTACTAGACGTGAAAAATTTTAACGTGGGAAGTTCATATTTCTCCTACCCTAGTAAAAGTTTACATAACTTTTTTTTTATTATATAAATAGAATATTGAAACTTAAACAAGATAATTGCATTTCTCGTACTTTGGAAAAAATTTGGGAAAAATTTCATGCAGATCTGAGCACCAGAAGTACCCGAAAAAGGAGGGGCACATTGACAAAAATGGCAAAATTTGTGTTTTGAGAAAAAGAAGTTTTAAAGTCAAAATTGCATGTTTATTTATCAAAGATGTCATTGAATGCGACGAAATTTGTACACAAGAAAGAAAAATCCTCCTTGTAGTGGCCACTGCCATTAAAATGCGCCAGCACCATAGGTTTGGCCCTCACGGCTCTTTCACGTTGACAGCGTAGCTATCGCGCGAGCTCCCGCTGTCGTATGTTCTCCTCGCGGTCAGTCCGTCACCCGACACGCTCACGCTGGCCTCCCCGCCTGAAGCTACTTGCCGCGAAGTATATGTCGCCGAAAGAATAGTCTCGGGGCACTCACTGTTTGGGCAGTGGAGTTCGACGAACGACGCAAGTCCTTTCCGCTTGTCGGCCGGTTCCCGGACACGTAATCCCAAATGGCGACACATCGGACACATTGCACCGCGCACAAGCATGTTCAGTGCTGTCACATCAGCAATCAACGAAGACTCGTCGTCCTGTGATTTTTCTTCGTCTTCGAAGAGTCCGATCTTTTTCTGGGAGGCACTCACATATTCGAATGCCGCGGCAAACTCGTCGGGCGCATCGGCGTCATTGCCACTACGTTTTGCGGCAGCAGACGATCTTTTCGTGGTTTGAGTGTTCGGCTTTGATTTGCGCCGGCGTCCTCGAAATTTGTGCGCCGCGTGAAACTTCACAGGCCGGTGACCGCGCTTCCTACGGCTTTCTTCATCCATAACGAATAAG